ATCTGTTTGATATATATCTTAGATAGGAATAAAAATTAAAATCTCATAGAGGCACTAAAAATGTGTGCATTTTGTGTTTTCTCCTGTTGAAATAACCTTTTAACTGAATTTTCTTACATAAAAAGAAAAAACGTTCTTTTCTGTTGGGAGAAAACAGAGCATGCAATTGGTAAATAATGTAAAAGTGATTTTTTTAAAAAAATTTGGGGTAGGATTGGGATGTATTTCTAAGTTTTAATCAGCATTAAGCTTGGTCTTAACATTGTGCTTTAGGTGTCTTTAGAAACCCAATATAAAAACCTCCCCAAATTTTTGTGAATTAGGTGAAAATGTCCATGTTTGTGGATTTGGAACTGTCCTTTGGATCAGCATCCTCTGCTGTTTAGGGCACTTCACTTGCCCTGTGGCCAGAGAGGGCCAAAGGGGAACTCCTTCATTTTTCAGGCACAAAATAGATCAGTACTTGCCCTAACGTCTGGTTTGCTCCAGAGGGATAAACTTCCAGAACCTCCTTCAGAGCAGGGCTATGAGGGGATATAATGTTCAATTTGATGCCTAAATCCTGGAGCCAGGGAGCTCCTCCCCTGTACACAGCCCAGTCACCATGGCAGCAGCTCCCTGTGGATTCCTGGATCCCGGCTGAGGTGCAGTGTTGCCACCTAATGGGGCTGCACAGCTCGGGATTCCTCGGAGCCAGCACAGCCCTGCATCCTTTCTGCCACTTGGAGAAGTGGATTGTTGTCTCCTGTCACCTTCACCCCTCCCTGGCACTCTGGGATGAGGATCCTGGTTTGTCTTCTCTGGGCGTTGGAATGTTCCAAATGAACCGTTTGCTTCTGTTCCAGAAAATAGAAATTATAGATGATGAGGAGAGTGATATGATCAGTAATTCTGAAGTGGATCAGATGAGTTCTCTCTTGGATTATAAGGTGAGTAACTGGGCTGTGTCAGGCACAGCAGGACAATCCTCAGGGAGTTCAGGGGAGGAATTCAGCAAAGGCAGCCCCTCTGCTCTTATCCCTGTGTGCACATCCTGCCCTCAGACCCCTCTCATCCCACCTCCAGCCACACTTTCCATATTTCAACCCCCAGGGAAGCAGGAAAACCCCACTTCACAGAGCAGTTGCATTGCTGCGGGTGCAGCTCCTGCCACGTGTCCCAAACCAGTTTATGGAGCCCGTAAACCACAACTTCCTTTTTGTGGGACAGTTGTTCCTTGGAATGCTGCAGCACACTTCTCCTGCTGCCAGCTTTGGAAGGGACATAACAGCTGGGATCCTTAATAAAATGGGGGTTCTGAGGAGAAGTCATTTCCCAGGACGTGCCTGGAAGAGGTGCCTGTGGGAAGGAGGAGAAGCAGTGGGATCCTGACAGCTGCCTAAGGGTGAAGGGGAGGGGATGTTACTGCTCCCCTGAGCTGCCATAATTCCATGTTTTATTGAGCATGGCTTTCCCTGTGTAGCTGATTTTTTTCACTTGGAAACCAGGTCTGTTCTCCTGCCAACAATCAATTAGCAAAATAATAAACAGATCATCCCTTCAGAACAAAAATTGCTCCTTCCAGCAGCACTTTCCTGGGAAGGGCAGTGGGGAATGAACGTGGAGAGGGAATGACCTTTTCTTAATGTCACCTCTCACTGCAGTGACAGGCTTGTTGTGACAGTGCCCTGCAGACCTGGGTTTATCATTTGACATCACTGATTAATCCAGGAGTTTTCTACCTAAATCTGAATTCTTCCTTGGCTGGGAAAATCCAGTGCTGAACTGCTGAGTTCCCATCTGAAAGAAACTCAACTCATTTTTTTATGAAAGCCTCAAAATCACAGCCCAAATATTCCCCTCTCATTCCCAGAGCTGTTATCACCTGAAGCAGTGTGGAGAGCAATGTTCTCGCTGAAAAAATGGGAATTTTCTGGGGGGAAAAAACCCAACAAGACCAGAAAACCTGTAGTGCATCACATAATCTCACCTTTTCCTATCAACTAAAGCTGAATTACAGCCAGCAAGTGTAAGCAGAAACAGCATATTTTTTCTCCAGGAGGATGCACAGTTGGTGCTGTTATACAGGGCCCCTTTACAAAAATGAGCAGTGACTCTGATCTTGTAACCTGAATACACAGTTTGATTTTCATGATCTTTGCAAAGGTAAATAACCACAGAAAATGAATTTTAGCTCTACACTGATCACCAGATTCAGCATTTGGATCTCTCCCACCAATCAGTTGGTAAGTTTGAAGGAGAGGAGATATTTGGAATAAACAGAAGTTCTTACCAAATCTGAATTTTTAATTAAGGGATTTGCAAGTATAGGTTGGAAAAATGTCTTTTTAGCCATGACATGCACATTATTGACAGTTCCCCATTTTGTACATCTAGTTTCAATGCCCAGAAATAACTGTATGAAGGTTGGAATGAGATGATTTATAAGCTCCTTTCCAACCCAAACCTGGGTTGGAAAATCCCTGTTTTTTGTGTGACCCGAGGGACCCTGAGGAGGTTGGTGAGCTGACACTTGGTGGTCCATGTCAGACCCAGCTCCACTAAAGATGCTGCATTTTAATTTGTGGGAGCTTTGAGGAATTTTCAAGTTATTTTCCCTGGGTTTTGTGTCAAGCCTTCTGCTGCAATAATGGAATTTATTTGTCTCTTCTCACAGTCCCTTTGCCTTTTCAAGATCACTGCTAGGAAGAGAGACTTGGGCTTTGGTTGTCATTTTCACTAAAAACATTTAGTTTTAACCCAAGTGTGTTTAGGTGTCATTAAAAAGCTGCAGTGGGGGTTATTCCAAAGCTTTGTCCTTCCCAGGGCTGGAGTCCCATCCCTGGAGGGATTTACCAGCCCTGTGGATGTGGCACTTGGGGACAGGGGTGGCCTTGGCAGTGCTGGGAGAACAGTTGGACTCAAAAGGTCTCAGGGGGCTTTTCCAACCCCAACAATTCCATGAGCATTCCCAGAACTCCCTGTGATTTCCCCCCCAGAATGAAGAGGTCAGATTCATTGAGAGCCAGCTGGAGAACCACAAGCAGAAGTATTTTGAACTGCAGACGTTCACTCGGAGTTTGATACTGGCAATTAAATCAGATGATAAAGAACAGCAGCAGGTGAGCCCTGGGGTGGGTTTAATATCAGCTGTTTGTCATTAATATCAGAACGTGTTTGTCCTCAATATCAGAAGGTGTTTGTCATTCTGTGTCCTGTCACTCCCTTGAGTTTATTCCACAGCTCAAATTATGACTGAAAAACCCAATGAAGTTTTTCGCTCTTTATTTAAAAGATATTTGAATTTTGACATATAAAAAAAAATACACCTAATACTGTGTTGTCATGGTCTTTCCCTTCCAGGCACTGCTTTCAGACTTACCTCCTGAACTAGAAGAAATGGATTTCAACCACACCTCCCCAGAGCCTGATGATACCTCATTCAGCTTGTCCTCTTTGTCAGAGAAAAATGCCTCAGACAGTTTGTGATTTATTTTTTTTAACTGACAAACCAGAACCCCTCTGGGACATGCAGGTTTCAGGAGAAGAGCATTTTGCTCTCCAGTGTTTCCTCAGCCCAAAAAAAGCAAGTCCAAGGTGAAGGAGCCTGTCCTGAAGGATGGCTGGGGCACAGCCCAGCTGCAGTTTGCACTGGCAAGGAACTTGCAGTGGTGGTTTTGCTAAAGGAGAGAACTGGGTGAGAGAAGGTTTCACTTGTAGCAGTTTGGCCTTGGCTGGGAGAACTCCTGACTCTCCAGAGTAACTCTGGCTCTGTAGCAAAGTCTTTCTGAGCAGGGATTTCTGAGTGGAAAGCAAATCCTTCAGCCTCACGTGCTCACCAGGCCTGTTTATTATATTTTTCCCCATTTTTACTCAGGTAGGTGGACTAAAAATTGGGGTTCCAAATAAAATAGCTTTCTCTGAGTTGTGCTTGAACCCTTTGGAAAACCTGAAATTAAACTAAAGCGTTTTTCATTCTCTGACTTGAGATTGTTGAATCTTCCATTTTCTGACCAAAATAGCTGAAAAAACCTTGAAAGGCTAACTCAGAAAATTGAATTATCACCAGTAAATTATTAATGTGAAGAAGCAGTGCTAAGTGCTGGAAGAAATGAGATGGAAATGGGAGCCCTGATACCTGCAGGGCATGACTTCCTGATACAGTAGCAATGGGATTGGATGTTTACATTCTTTAGGGTTTTATGATTGTAGTCAGAGTTTTGATTTGTCAAAGCCTGAATGCTGAAGTTCTGCTTATTATTTTAAGTATGGGTTGTGTATTTTTCCACAAACTTTGCTCCATTTTACCAAGCCAGTCAGAATTCCAGAGCTGTCTTTGCATCCTGAAAGGTTTTCCAACGTTTGGAACTCCAGGATGATCCTGGGTGATGCTGTAGCTGCCTGCCCATGGCATTGATGCTCTAATTGGAATCTGAATCCCTCGGCAAGAATTTTTCACACAATCAGGTGAAAAAACTGATCTTTCCATTTTATGCCAAATAACAATTGACTCTGGGGAATCCTTATTCATCCAGGACAGCAAGTAATCCCCTTAATTTCAGTGAGAGGTCCAAGGTGTAGCTCAGAGAATCCAGAGTGTTGGGGAAATAACTCCTTTTTTCCCCCCCCAGTACTGCTGTTAACTCAGATTTTAGGGTTTTCTCAGTCTGATCTGTTCTTCCCTAATCACTTTTACAACTCTTTTTGTTTAGTGCCAGTGGTGAGCTCTGTCCTTTCAGGTTTTTTCTGTCTCTCTTGTCGTTGGGCATGAGGAGCTTTTAGCAATACTGTTAAATACCAGCTGCATAAAGGGTAGGGACAGTTTTAAAAGGTGTTTTAAAAACCAAGTTGCACAGTTCTGACCAGTGTATGATTCTGTTAGTTCCCAACAGACCTCTGACCACATACTCTGCAGAGCAACCCCAGAATTCCAAACTGCTGGGCCTGGATGTGAGTGGAGGCATTAAAACAGAGAGGGAAGGCCCCGTGTGACCAGGAGGTGAGGGGTGGAATGTCCCATCCTGGCTGGCAGACACGTCCTTGTGGCCTCACCCCCAGGAGGAGCAGAGTTTGCCACACTGTGCAAGTGCCCCCAGTCTAAAATGAAGGTTTGTGAGCAGAGATCACAATGCTGTCCTTCCCATGGAAGACACAGCTCAGCTGGAATTCTGCTGGCTCTGAAAAGCTCATTTATAAAGGGTTTTCTATCCCAGGCTGACAATGGTTTCTATTACTGTCCTCTCCAGACAGGAAATCAGGGCCCCTGACAACGAAGCCTCTTGTTTTCTGTGTTCTAGTACTGTCATTTGCCACTGTTTGGACCCTGTTTTCCTGCTGCTTCTCTGAAATTCCCATGACAAAAGGCAGGATACTCTTAATGGGAGTTCTCGATTTCGTGGTCAATTAAGTCATCCACCTTTCTGCAAGAAAAGCTCCCACCGATGATTCCTATTTTGCTGTCTTGTTTCTATTCCATCTCCAAACAAATGGAAGGAATGAATTTTGAATGAACTGCTGCAATTATGTCAGTCCCTTTGCTCTAGGAAGCTGGACTCCTCTTGGATGTGCAGCTGAAAGGAGCTGCAGTCAACACCCACCCATCCCTGGGGGAATGTTGTTCTTTGGTCCTTTCTCCTGTAGGGAGACACCAAAAACCCAGCGAGGCAGTGGTGCTTCCACAGCTGAGACACCTGACAACTTCACAGGATATTCAGGAAGGCAGAGTGTGAATTATATCCCTGATAACAGAATGCTGTGGAGGAAGATACTGTACAGCTCTTTGGCTGTTTTTTTTTTCCACTATTAGTGCATATTTCCGAATTTTTAATGACATTTAAATTGCCATTAGTGGTATTTTAAGTGTTGATGGAAAGCAGTGGGGTGGCTCTGTGGGCCCTTGGCCTGGCAGGATTTGGGGTCTGGTTGTTTCCCCTCCGTAGGACAATAATGAGAGCCCACATTTAGGGCTAATTTATCATTCCATAGACTTTCCATAACAAATAAAGCTTTTTAGGGTGACAGAAATCAACCTCATTTCCATTTCAATGGTTTGACTAATTTGAGTAACCCCTCCAGCAGAAGGGCCACGTGTGGATGTTTCACCACCCTGTGAAATCTCTCATTTCTTTGTCCATGAGCAGTGACTTCCCCGGTGTGTTTATCCCTGGTGCATCCATGGGAACGTCAGTGCTGACGTGTGTGTGTGTCTGGAGCAGCCCAGGTGGGCAGAGGCAGCTCGGAACAGACGCTGAGCAGAGACAGGCCGGGCTCTCCTCGGGGAGCAGAGGCTTTGATGTGACAAGTTTGCTCGTGGTTCAAAACCTGTTTCCTGCAGCTCTGCCTCTTTCCCTTTCCCTGCTGCTGTCACATCTAGAGCCTGACAGGAGTGAGTAATAGTAACCAACAGGTAAATTTGGGGCAGATTTAAGGTACCCAAGCAGATGTACATACAAGTGTCAGTTCTCTGCACTGCTCGGTCCTCAAGCTTTAATCTTTCCCAGGATTTCTTTTCACTAAGGCAATAAAAAGTCTGAGATAAGAAGCAGATCCTTGGCTTTGCAGCCCTTTGAGTGAGAGAAGGAATGTACTGGTTCTGTCTTCACCTTAAACTGGGAAGAGCTTTACCAAGTCCATTCTCCAGACAGAGACAGCTGTGTCTGCTGTGCTCATCCAGGTGAACAGAACAAATCCACACCACCATGGGTATCCTGACTGTGGAAATGGGAATTACTGCTGCAAATGAATCCACTCTCCCACTTGGGATCTCTTGCACTACTGTATTCCTGACATTGAGAACAAACTCCTGCACAGCACTGACCTTCCCTCAGTGCTCCAGGCAGAGCCAGCTGTCGGTCTCAGGGTCCTGGGAGTGTAAGGAAGGATAACAATGTGGAAGGAAGGACAGTAATATGGAAGGAAGGACAATAATATGCATTAAGGGAATAGCACAGCATACCTGAAACAGGAAGAATCCATACCTTGTTCCAACCCAAAGCTTGCTGTCCTCCCTCCAGCCCCTGCCCCGCTCCCCCAGGCTGCTCTGAAGGACTGGCACCACTGGCAGGGCCAAATCCTGCCTTTTCTGCCCCAAATCATCACAACTGAGTGAGTTGTTTGGTTGTGAGGTCCCTGAACAAAGCTAGGGGCTGGTGAGTGAGAAAACTCCATCTGGTTCCCACAGAAAACAAGCTGGTTTGTGGTGGATGATTTCCCTACTCTGGTAAATTTTTGCCCATTGGCCAAATGGGAAATCTGAAAAGTTATGAGCAAAAAAAAAAAAGGATAAGCAATGCTACAAAGTTAGTGTTTTCCATGGCACAGTAGGGTTTTGGTCTGAATATTCATTTCTCTGAAAAGCAGCAGCTGCTTTGGTCAGAAGACAGATGGGGCAGAACCTTGGGCTTGTGGTGGTGGTTCTTTTTCAACAAATGAGCAAACCCTCTTGGATAAAAGAGGTGCTTAAGAATGTTCCTGTAAGGAAAACAGGGCTGTGCTTTGGTTCTGGGAACATTTTCCTGTGTTACTGAAGGAAGTCAGTAATTCTTTTCCAGCTCTGTATTACATTTTACACACACTACCTCTGACACCACCCTTGAACCCACACAGAAAATGTGAACTTAAGCTTTTTTTTTTTAACCTTTTCTAGGCAATAAATTATTTCCAACATGCATCCTTCGGTTCTCTGCTTGGTTTTAGTTGAGTGTGAGACATTCACTTGGTTTATTTTAGTGCTGTTTTTCTGTATTTGTCTTAAACACAATCTATGGACAAGAAAATACTGAAGGTGGGATATTAGGGAGAAATGATCAGCAGATGTTAAGCAAGTGTTCAGCAAAAATGAATCAGTAGCAGGCTAAATGTAGATTTAGACCATGTTTGTAGTTAAGTTTCATCTTAAAAGAGTCCTTTTGATCTTCCCCCTCACATTTATCTCCCAGAAATAGTAGGGGAAGGTTGTCAGGATGGACGAGGGATGGGAGGGGATGAGGCATGAGGAGGCAGAAATGAAGTAAACTAGAAAATTTAAACTAAAGCTTCTGCTTTAGCTGCAAATTCTGTGAATTACAGCTCAAAAAGTCATGGACAAATCCACTGAGTTGTGTTGGGGGAAAATTGTCTTCTCCAATGGGAATTTTATAATTTCTGTGGTTATTTCTGGAATTACTGAGTGTATGTAGATACACTAATGCAGATTTATCATGTGCACAGATATACTGAACTTGATCATATTAACATCTACAAAGGTATTTTAACTTGAAATATTAATGTGAGTCTTCTAAAATATATTTGGTTTGCTCTTATTTTTATGTCTTACTATGTATGGATGACATAGTTCTGAAAAATTAGTCAAATACATCCATGAAAATATGGTTTATTGTTCATCTCCTTTAAAATCAGTAACTTTTAGGCTTGGAAATTTATGAAAATGCCCATAATAATGACATTTATAAGTGAACTTGGCAAATAAACAAACTGCTGTATTTATGAAGAGATAATGAATCTTCTGCCATGACAATTCCTGCTTTATTTTCTCTATAGGTATCAGTTTGATTTTTTTTTAAAAAAACAACTATTCTGAAAGTTTAAATATTATTGTAAAACTTGGATGTTTTCCTTAGCCTACAAAACAATTGATGATTTTAAAACTTCTGTCATTTCTTTCTGGGCCAATCCCTTAAGCTTTGTGTATTCCTGAGTTTCTCTGTGAAAACCTCTATTTATATTGCATTTTTATGATTTGTATCAGTATGTGTAGCAAAGAAACTACTACAAACCTTCAACTGAAGTACCTCCACTATGGTCCAGGACACCAGATCTGGGTGTTTGAGTGCTGGATGCCCAGAGAAGGGGTCCAGATGTTTGTATTGCTTTGGGTTCTGTGTAAATAAGGGTATTTATAATCTTGGATTCCCAGAGTCACCATGAGAAATGCTTCTTTCCTGCTTTAGGAGCCTGCTCAGCTATTTTTATATAAAAACGTTGGTCTTCGCCTTAATTTTTTTTGGTGAAAAGTTGTGCCATAGATATTTTAACTTATCCACAGATACTTTACAGAGTTTGCTTTGACTTCTCTTTACTTAATTATTTTTTCCTCCGATTATTTGAATTTGTTTCCTCCTCCAAATGCATCTCAAGGTTGGTTTGCTTTCTTAATTTTATTTTTGGGTTTTTTTCAAGTTTTGGAGGATCCTTTCATCTGCATGCTTTGGTAGGTCGAGTTTTTCCTCTGTAGTTTATTGTTTATAGTTTAGACAAACCTTTTCTTGAACAAAAAGCCTGAAGTAATGCTTGTACAAATGTATTTAGGGTGGCCCAGATGGTCAGAGAAAAGGGCTATTTAGCGTTGGCAAATTTGTCTACCAGACTCAAGGATATTTTTCTACGTCTGTCAAGTTTGGGACTATGGAGAAATGAAATAAAGGTGAACTAACTCCTTTTCCTATATGAACTTCTCTGTTTCTGTTGTTTTTGTGGCCTTGGAAATGTTCAGTTCTGTTCAGAGCAGCAACAATGAAATCCCCATCGGGGCTTGGGGCCGTCACCTTCCACTTCCCCAGCTCTTTAGTTTCTACCAGATAAATTAATTAGTTATTTATGAAGAGAGTTTTCAGGATTATAAACAGAATTTTGTGCAGACCTTGGAGCCCTCTGTCCTGAGGACACTGAAATGTTCTCCCTTCCCATGACAGGAATTTGTGTCTAATGAAGCCAATGCAGCCCCAGCACTGAGAGCTCAGGTGAACCATTAATGCTGAAGGGGTTTGAGCTGTTTTGGGGGTGTTTTTAAGCTGTTTTAAAGCTAAATATGGGCTCTCTATGCTGCTGTAACCATGAGACCGTTTCTTATCAGCACCTTGAAAATCTGCAGAGCTCAATCCCGTGACCTCTGCCCTCAGCCACGATCCCTGTGCTTTGACACAGGGATGGAAACTGGGAAAAATTGTGAGTGCTGATGGCTCTTGGCTTTTGGAGCACTTTGGTGCTGAAAATAAGAGCCCAGGTGTCCTGGAGAGCTCCCAGCTCGGCCCCACGGCCGAGGGATGGGATTTAAACTTCATTTGGAACCAGGAATAGTGAAAAAGAGCTGCAAGAGACCCCCGTGAAAGGGCTTTGGTGCCTGGGTGATGCCCGCGCACGGGCACATCCCGGGATGGTGTCGGACAGGGATACACGAGCCATTGCCTGGTTTTCCAGGCTGCCTTTATTGGCAGAGGCTGGCAGAGGGCAGTGTGGCCGCATCCATCGGGATCCCACCGGCACAGGCTCCCTGGATCTGCCCTTGCACTGCGGGTTTGCACCGACCGGAGGAACAAAACTCCCGATGCTCTGGAATCCCCCCCAGCTCGGAGCTCCGACCCCAGCCCGCTCCTGGATTACGGCTGCGGAGGGGGAGCCCGGAAAAACAGGGGGAGAAACAGATGACTGGAGAGGAGTTAAAGCAGTCTGACCCCAAAGATTCATTATCCACAGCTAATGTCGGCGTGCCCCCGAACCGGGATGTTTTGGAGAGCCCACCCCGAGCGGGGCGGTGGCTGCAGCTCCATTGCCACCTGGTGGCAAAAAAAACCCCAGGGATTGGGGAAAAATGCCTTGTAAACTGTCCCCACGCTTCGTGTTTCGGAATGAGCAGATATTTTTATCTCCATGGAAAATAACCGTAATATTAAAATAGATCTGGCATTTAGTGGCGAGGAAGACTGGGTGTGCAGCCGTAAGCTGGGAGCGTATTCCAGTTGGGGTTCCCCACAGGGATTTAGGTCTGGGGGCACCAAAGCTGCTCCATGAGATGAGGGGACGTGTGACAAGCAGGGACAGCCGGGGTGGCCCCTCCATCTCCGTGGTCCTGGTGCAGGGGCTGAGGGAAGGGGCCATGGAGGGGAAAATGAAACAGAAAAAAAAAGGTGTTTTCCGGTTATTTATTTGTCTGTGTTATTTTAGTGGGGAAGGAAGGCAGAGGAAAGGGCAGGAAATTTGAAAATTTTCAGACTTTATCTACTGTATTATCTTGCTTTTTGGTTATTTCTCACTGGAAATCTGGAATAATCTTGGACTAGGTAGAATTTTGCGCTAGAAAAAGCTCATTTTATTTTTTTTTTTTTTTAAAAGAAAAATTCTCCCCAGCCTCAATCTTCTTTTGACAGTCTCCTCCTCTTTTCTGTGAACTTTTCAATTAATGATCTGTTACCTCCCTCTTGGGAAGGTTTTGGGCACAGGAGACCCCTCCCTGTGGTGAAGGGCAGAGGGAAGGATCGTGTCCCAGTGTCTCCTGCTGTGAAATCCTTCCCCAGCAGCACCTTTTCTCCCTCTGGCTGGTGTTGGGTTTCCAGCTGCTCCCAGGGCTCCCTCCTGGGAAGGACAGAGGGGTGGGAGCAAGGCCAGTGGGGGAAAAGGTAGTGGAGGCTCAGAGGAAAAGGAATTTTGATTGAATAAAGGAAAGGAAGGAGACATGGAGCAAAGTGGAAAGATGAGCAAGGTGGTGAGAAGAGGTGGAAATCAAGGGAGGGGGAGAAGAACAAAACCCTCATGGAAGTGCTTGGAACAGAGGGGAATTGGAAGTGAATGACAAAGAGGTACAACCCCCTCAAGGATGGAGGGAAACAGCACCAGGAGAGCAGGAGGGCCCATTTTGGGAAGGTCAAGTCCTTGGAATGGCACCTGGGAGCAGACACTCACCTGAGGAAGGTTAATTAGAGTGGGTTTAATGTTCTGTTAACACTTCTCCTCTGGGACAGTTGCCAAGCCATTGCAACCAAAGCCCCCTAGACCTTGACTCCAGTAATAGTAAGTAGATGCCTCACTGTGATCCGAACTATAAACAGATTTTATGAATTCTGCCAGAAATTTAATATTGAATTATTTCTTCATGCCCACATGTCTTTCCTGGTTTGCTTAATTCTGCCAAATATTTAGCTCAGCCATCTCTTCTCTCAGCAACCCACACTCTCCTGGCTACATCAGCCCATTTTTGGACTATTATTTAAAATTTCAGTATTTTCACAGAGCCTGGCCAAAGAACCAAAGCTGTTCTGAGAGGAATGAAACAACTGAAGGTGTTCAGCTCTGGTTTGGGGATCAGGTTGTTCACTCCTCATGTGACACCTGGACAGCCAAGCAGAGGGTTTGACCCAACCCAGTGACGCTGGCACAGACTCCCTGGTTTAGCCCTTTTTTGGGGAAGAATTCCCCTGTAATGTGCCTTTCACCTCCCTGTTGAACTCAGGGCCACAGGAAAAGGATGGACACATTTTTGCATGTTCA